GAGGTTGTGGATAGGCACCCAGAAATAGCGTGGATTGGGAGAAACCAGTTACAAGTGTTTAGGAGTAGTTCCAGTATCTGGTGCCTCAGATATTTTATTAGCTTCAGCTCCTGAGGTCCTCCAGCTTTGGCCATGGGTCATTCACTATCCCTTTTGCCTCTTGCTGTTGGCAAGGGTAATTTGGGGTCCCCAGAACCCTGGCTTCACTATGACAGCAGCAGACTCAAGTATCATCTTTGAAATTCACTGCTAGCCTGGTAAGTACACCATCTTAGTCATTGGGCGGAGCTTGGAAAGACCCTGACTATGATGCTTTTGTAGTTAGTAAAGCAGTAATGAGCTAGGTTTATGCTCTCTTTCCACAGAGGAGCAGATCTGGAATGTCCAGAGTTTACTAATGTATGTAATGCAGGGCCTCATATCCACAATGGCTCAACTTAAATTTGGGCTTTTTTGTATTTATAGTGATCTCCTAAATTTATTTCTCCTATTTCCGTCCTCATGACAGGTAGTGACAAAGGTCCTGAGAATTCAGAGATATGTAATACTGTGCCTCAGCAGAGAAAGGCTTCCGAAACAACTGAACTCCTGTGTATTATACAGATCAGTGCAAAATAATTTCTGATCATACTTAATTAATTAGGTGGCACCTCCACTCACAGACTAGGTTTGTGAGAACAGCCATAGAGTTTTGAAGTCTGAGAAAAATGAAGCAAATATGAAAGTGTTATCAAGAACAGGGTAAAAATTTGTGAAGGACAAATTCCAGAAAGGGCTACCTGTTAAATTCTCATCGAAAAATGCCAAAATTTACGCATTTGCATGGACATATACATGTGATATCCTTTCGAATGTAAAGGAATAGGGGTGTCACCTCTGAATTAAGAGCTGATTTAGTAGCTTGGTTGTTAATAGACAGTTTAAATATGGAAATTCTCTACAATGGACTTATCTAAGTGGTGTAAATGAGAAGCCCTAAATAGAAATTTTGCAGTGATATCGATAGTTAGGCATGAAGGGTTTTCTGCTTAGGATGGATCAGAGGAGTATGGAAGAGATGTGGAAGTGACTGACAGGATGCAGGCAGCAAATAGCAGGACATACAACAGAGAGGGTCTTCACTGAAAGTCAGGTAGTTCTTAGAGTAAGTGTGAAGTAAAGTTGGGTTCTGATTGCTTCATTGAGGTGATCAACACCAGCTCTGGCAACAAACAATCAGCATTCAACATCCCTGTCAATACATAATTTTTGTGTTCCATACTTGAGATCTAATTTTATTATTTCTATTTATGCCCCAGTGTCATGAAGCTGAAATTTTCAATTTTTTGTACCAAGGATCAAATGCATGACCTATGCTTTCCAGGCATGTGTTCATGCCACTGAGCTAAATACGCAACTATGAAAATGTTTTCTGTGTAGTATGGACAATATCCACATTGTTTCTGATAAAGTGTTGAATACTGTTGGAATTTTTCTGTATTGTATGGCTATAATTTTTTTTAAAACAAACCAAAGTTGTCTTATGCAGTCTCTTTTTAAGTTTCACTTTGTCTGTTCAGTGTCTCAATCAGGGTTTGTCTATTTTAGACAGCTCTGTAACTTAGGATAGCCCCAAATTCAAGGAAAAAATCCTTTACCAGCCTCCCAAGATATATTTCTTATATTTGAATTGAAAGTGATCACTTGGTGACAGTGAGGTATAATTTACAGCTTGGGCCTGGTTTCATTTTATATACATATTTTTAAAATACAGCTGTTTTCCACTAACACTTGAGTTATTATTTATATACCATATTTGATGTTATTTATGTTTTGTTCTATGAAACCAAATTCATTTTTCAAAATGCTGCTTAAGTATATTAAGAACAAAGTACTCACTGGCCTAAATGAGATTTGAACAGACATCATCTGTAGTCTATCAAAGTGATTGCTGAGATTTTGTACTTAATTTTGAAATTTTTAAAATAGAACAGAACAAGGCAGCATAAGGTCAACTAAGATCACACAGTGAAACTGGTACACAACTTCACAACAGGTTACTGGGATAACAGTAATAGGTATCACAGTATATTTTGTTATCTTTGTCATAGTTGTTCTTTAATCACATATACCAAAATGAGATGAAATACAGAACATTATAGAACTTATCAAAACAGAATATTGAATTGAGCAGTACCATTAATCAGAATAGAGTGAAACAATAATAAAAACATTTTCCTTCAAAGAGATAGTAGAAGGAAGTCCCCCTTATTTGCTATGGTCAACTTCCCAGGAGACACTCAGATTTCTGGTTCCCATTTGTTAATGGGGGGGTGACAGGAGAAGAAGGGTAGGGAAGTGGGATGTTTGATTCTAGGTGGTGCATCAGTAGGTTCACTATTGCTTAGTAGGGAGACAGGCTGGTTGTTTGGTTTCACAGCGCCCTAAGTTCCAACATAGAACAGATCTTAGGAGCTGCTGCTGGTTCTCCCCCTGGAAAGGCTGCAGTTTTCCAGACTGCCACCGCTGACTGGGGAGGGGAGGTGCTTGCTTGGCTTCCCAGGCAATTGATAAGACATTTATTTGCCTCTGTGCTTTGTGGTTGCTGGTCCTGCAGGCTTCTCACTGTGAGCTCTGCTTTAGAGAAAGTGCACAGGGAATCTTGCCATGGCTCAGCACAAGAATCAGTGCTCCTATTTGGCTGTTATATTAGCAGTGAGTTGCAATCTAGCATCAAATCTGCTGTCTTCAAAAATGTGTATAGACACAAAATTAATGACCACGACATGGATTTAAATTTGAACAAATCAGTCTTCATTCAGCTGTTTTGTTTGGCTTTATTTGTTGAGTTTAGTTTTGTTTTATTGAGACAAGCTTTCTGTATGTATATCAGCTGGATTTGAACACCCTATAGAGCCTAGAATTGCCCTGACCTCACTGATGCCTTCCTGGCTCACCTTTTGAGTGCTGGGATTATAGATATGCACCACCACACTTTGCTTTTGATTCACATTTGTAGGAGAGAATTTAAGATATCCCAAACCTGGGGTCTCAACCTTCATGTGAGAAATATATGTATGATCCTTTAGGAGGTGGTGACCTTTGAGGATGTGGTTGTGAACTTCAGCAATGAGGAGTGGAGTTTGCTGAGTCCATCCCAAAAGAACCTCTACAGAGATGTGATGGGTGAAATCTTTAGGAACATGGCTGCAATAGGTAAGGATGAAATCTTTTTGGCAATCATGCTGTCAGAATATTGTTTGTTGCTCATTAGTGCTGTTTTGTTAAAAAGAATATGAAAATATTTTTAAAAATAGCTCAGACCTGGACACATTATATCATAACTCTAAACAAAATCTATTAATTTGTATTATTCTAATGAGCGCTGGTATTTCTATGTCTACAATTCAGGAGGACTTGGGGATATCCAGGAAGCTGAAAAAGAATGCAAAATTTACTGGAGATACTTAAGGTAATTCACACTCACAAGGAGAGGAATGTTCCTGAGTAATTAGTGAGTCAGCAGAAAAATGACCAACAAAGAAATGAGGCACCATTTAACTTAATGTCAGTAATATTCTCCAAAGATGTATAAGCTAGTGTATATATGAGGGAATTAAGTCATGAAAATGTATGACATTGCATAGAGATGTGTACGAAAGGCATACACTTTGAGTTATGACATTCTGCCTTCAGTTTTTCTACCCATATATACATGTGAATACAACACATTCATTATCTAAAAATTGCTAAGATTGCAATAGAATTTGAAATAAAACTGAGTACTCATGTTTCCAAGCCATGCTCTAGACAATCGGTGATTCTGACTAATATTCTTAGTAGGCTGGTGGAATGTTAGTGCACTCATTTTGAATATCAGTATGCAGTTGTCTCTAGAAATTGATCCCCTCATACTTGCCCTGGATACTTTTAAAATCTCAAAATCTGCATAAAATACTGATACATGCTTACTCATATACAAAGCAGATCAAGTTATAACATCAGGCCTTGAAGCTTATCTATCTATCACTGGATTTGTGGAGAAGGAAAATGTTAATAGACTCTCTGTGATTGTACATTCTTGTAAACCCAGCACACTGGGAATCAGATTTTGCAGAATGGCAATTTCAAGATCAAACATCACAGCTTAATGATCTATGAAAATCTCTTAAAATAGATTTTTAAAAAGTTATAGATTTATGCTAATACCTGTTGTTCATTCCCAGCCCAGAATGGAAAAAAAATGTGTTATATAATGTCAAAAAAAATAATATAATGTCATTTGCCATAAGAATTAGATGGGTCTTTCACCCATCAATTCAGTGAAATAGCTCAGCTATAAAACCTAAAAGGTCACTGGCTTTCTTTTAGATGAGAAACCAAAATACAAAATGTGGAAAGAAATGAAACAGAGTTGTTAGAGAAAAGTAAGACTGACCATACAGAAAAGGGAACTACAGGTTAAGGACAGAAGGGAGATTGTGATGGGGAAACATGTGAGAATAATCTGCATGTGATACACATATGTACCCATGCCCAAAGTGAAGCTAAAGATTCTGCATTTCAAAGTACCAACTTTTAAGATTTCCAAATGTGTACCAGTCTTTTGGGAATGGTTGTTTTCAACATATCTTACAAGGCCATTCTGTTGCTTCATGGTCAGAATTTCTTAGCAGGCATTAAAAACAGAACTTGATATTAATGCAGTCATTAAATGGAGACCAATTTCACTGTGAATTTTTCTTTTTTTAAATTTAATATAAGGAAAGATTAAATAAGACAAAATAAGTAGAAATAATACTGCTTTCAAAGTGAAAAAAAACAGTAAGAAATCGCAAGATGATGATTACAAATGCTGATCATAGAAATAGTTATGAAATACAAAAGTGAAACATATGAAGTGGGGATTCAAACAGCGAGACTGCAAACATTTTTGTTCAATTCTCCAAGAAAAGCTTAGTAATATGGTTATAAATCCTATATGTGATTTTTTCTTTACAGAAATGACAAGGTAGGGAAATCTTATGGACATACATCTTGGAAGCAGTGTAAAGAAGTCTTCCTTTGTACTGCAGAAGGTAATGTGAATGTGAAAGAAACAGAAACACACCACGATGTTCAGATCCATGAAAAATATTGCAGTGGAGGGAAACCCTACGTATGTAAGCAATGTGGGAAAGTTTTTAAAACATGTGCATATTGTAAGGTTCATGTAAGAATTCACACTGGAGAGAAACCCTATGTGTGTAAGCAATGTGGGAAAGCTTTTAACACACGTGCAAATTGTAAGGTTCATGAAAGAATTCACACTGGAGAGAAACCCTATGTGTGTAAGCAATGTGGAAAAGGTTTCATCCAACCTGGAAATTGTAAGGAACATGAAAGAATTCACACTGGAGAGAAAAAATATATGTGTCTGCAATGTGGAAAGGTATTCACCAGATCTAAATATTGTAAGGAACATGAAAGAATTCACACTGGAGAGAAACCCTATGTATGTAAGCAATGTGGGAAAGCTTTTACCAGACCTGAATGTTGTAAGCAACATGAAAGTATTCACACTGGAGAGAAACCCTATGTATGTAAGCAATGTGGGAAAGCTTTTAACACACATGCAAGTTGTAAGGTTCATGAAAGAATTCACACTGGAGAGAAACTCTATGTATGTAAGCAATGTGGGAAAGCTTTTACCAGACCTGGACGTTGTAAGGAACATGAAAGAATTCACACTGGAAAGAAACCCTATGTATGTAAGGAATGTGGGAAAGCTTTTATGAGACCTGAATGTTGTAAGAAACATGAAAGAATTCACACTGGAGAGAAACCCTATGTATGTAAGCAATGTGGGAAAGCTTTTACCAGACCTGGACGTTGTAAGGAACATGAAAGAATTCACACTGGAGAGAAACCCTATGTATGTAAGCAATGTGGGAAAGCTTTTACCAGACCTGGATGTTGTAAGGAACATGAAAGAATTCACACTGGAGAGAAACCCTATGTATGTAAGCAATGTGGGAAAGCTTTTACCAAACCTGGACGTTGTAAGGAACATGAAAGAATTCACACTGGAGAGAAACCATATGTATGTAAGCAATGTGGGAAAGCTTTTAACACACGTGCACATTGTAAGGTTCATGAAAGAATTCACATGGGAGAGAAACCATATGTGTTTAAGCAATGTGGGAAAGCTTTTAAAACACAGGGAGATTGTAAGAAACATGAAAGTTCACATTCAATATAAAACCAGTATATATAGGCATCATGAGAATGGTTTCACCACATGTACATATTGCATAATGCATGAAAATCTTCACACTGGGCAGAAAACATACATATGTAAGGAATATGGGAAAGGTTTCAGCAGAAATGCTCATTATCCAATATATTATAAAATTTACATGGTTGAGAAACTCTGTGTGTATGTGAAGAATGTGGGAAAGCTTTCACCACACATGGATTTTGTAAAATACATCTATGACTTCACACTGGTGAGAAAGCCTATGTATATAACAATGTGGCAAAGTTTTTACTGCATATAGTCATTGCAAAACACATGAAAGATTTCACACTGGGAAGAACAACTGGCTACATAAGCAAGTGGAGACACTTTCAGCAGCCAGATTGTAAGTGAAATACATGAAAAAAAAACTCACACAAGAGATAAATCCTATGTGCTATGGGAATACTCTCAGCACACATGATTATTGTTACATATCTGAAAGAGCTCACTGGGCAGAGATCCTATGTGGATTAACAATGTGAGAAATATAGCAATCCATGTTCCTTGTTAAATACATAGAAAAAGCATCACTGTTCAGACAGTTTAGATCTAAGTTTACTTTAAAAATCCCAAGGAGACCTGAAGAAATAATCAATACAGAAGTTAGATGTCAATATTTCTTCACAAATATTCCAGAAATGACAAATCTGAGGTGGGGCTCTCCTTAGGTGCCCATGTTGTATGATTTTCAGTTAAACACTTGTACCTCTCTAGATTTTTTAATATAGATGTTTTTGTGATTCAACATGGCATCTTGTAACTAAACATGCTAAACTGAAATGGGCTTTTCACTTTCAAGTATGGATAGTGCCTCTGTACTTAATATTTTGTCTTTAAAACTTAAATTTTGTATTTTCTGGTGAATTGTAATGTTGTTTATTTAAAGAGGAAAAAAGTGTAGAAATAATACAGAATTTCAGAAAAATAAACAATAAGAAATCACTAGTTGATTAGTATCATATTGTCATCTTAGAAGTAGTTGTTCAAGTTACAAATTTAAAGCATACAAAGTGATATTCAAATAATGACACTGTCATGGTTCACCTCAATGATCCACCAAAAAGTTATTAATATGCCTATCTGTCCTACACACTTTTTTTTCTTAAAGAGGGTAAGATTAAACATAGCAAAACAGAGCAAAACAGTTCATAAGGAAACAAGTTAAGGAAACACAGATTTCAAAGCAAGTCCACTCGAAATGTTCACTGTCTATCTTACTGTCTCTAGTTTTCTTCCAAATAGTTGTTCCCATCCTCACACACATTGAATATATACTGAATATTATAGAACTAATCAAATAATTACAGGATGATGCAAGCTTTTTCAATCTTCAAGACTGATTTTGGGGAAGTCGATGACTACCATAATGTCTCTCATTGTCTTTGTAGTAGCTGTCTTTATCTTTATGTATGCTGAAATTGAACATAAGAGACTAGACTAATGTCACTCTGAACAGTGAATAATAGTATCCTGAGAAGGAGAAAGGTGAGGAATTGCCTAAAAAAAGAAGGCAGAGGACATAGTTAAAAGTGTATCAGGATTTAAAAGCTACGGTAATCTTGTTGCTCTGTTTAGTTTGGTTATATTTTGTTCTGGTCTGTCTATTCATATTAGATTTGAGGGCACAGAGAGATAACCGAAAAATAGCAGGTTATACCATGGTAATTATCCTTAATTTCCTATTAACTAAAACTGAATCCATATATTACTTACATTGTCTTCTATGATTGATCTTCTTTGAAGCTGGATTGTTTCAATGTTATTTGGCCTTGACTGATTTTATTCACATTTGGTATGCTTGCTTGTATCAAGTTCAAGAGCAGAGGCAACTACTCTGAAGAGGACAAGGTGTAAAAGATATCCATTGGTGGGCTGGGGATTATATCAGTGGCTTAAGGCACCTGCCTGGCAAGTGTGAGGGCATGAGTTTCATCTCCAGAGCCAAAAATAAATAAATAAATAAAAGATATCCATTCCAAGTTTGATTATTTTTTTTTAATTAAAGAGAAGAAAGGAAATAAAGAACAAAGCAGTAAAAGGGTACAAGTAATACAGAATTTCAAGAAAAAATACAGTAAGAAATCACTAGTTAATAGGTTACATATTGTCATTGCTAGGGTTATTTCCAAAAGATGAAAAATATTAGCAAAGGATGCGAAATATAAAATAAAAAGTGGCCTTTATTCTGAGAACACGGAGAGAAATGACCGGCACCCCCACCGCTGGCGTCCAGCGATCTCTCAGGCCGACTCATGGTGTGGGATGCTGTAAATAGCCTCAGTTTGGGGTGGAACCTAAGGCGGGCATTAGGGATACACAGGTAGCCCATTGGTCCTAGGTTTGGTGCCATATGTAAATTTCCAGGGGTGGGAAGATGGTGTCACAGGTAACTTCCTAGGGGCAGGGGAAATGGGGCTTTCTGCTTCTTGTTGTGGCTTTCCTGGCTACAGTGTCCTATCTGGGCCAAAATCCTTTCAGTCATCTTAGAAACAGTTGTCCAAATTATAAAATTAAAGCATATAAAGTGGACATTCATACAGTGAGATTGCAGAAAGTTCTGTTCAGTGATCCAACAAAAGCTCAGTAATATGATTTTCCATCCTACACACGCAAGCATGCAGTTATATCCCTTAGACCACCTTCCTTTCCTCTCTTTTTTACAATAACAGTTACACGTTTTGAGTTTTTTACTCCCACAGTTCTTATTACATTTTTTAAAGAGAATAAATCCTAACATGACTACATAAAACAGAGACAGTTAGAACAGAAGGATGGGCATAGTACATGATGCAAAAATAGAATATCAGATGATCAAAAATGGTTGCCATTGTGCCTCTTGCTATTTTTAAAAAGAGTTGCTATATCATCAGGTATAATAGAATTGATCAAAACAGTACAGAACAAGACCAATAAAACCTACACTGGAAACCTTGCAAGACTTCAAAAGAAGATAATAGTCAAACTATAATGGGCATCATAATAAATCTTATTGCCTTCAAAGTGGTTGTCTATACCCTCAAACTTGATACTATCAAACAAAATAGAATATAGTAAAATCAGACAGAACAAGATGTGGAGAGCAATACTGGGGTTCAAATCAGGTTAACAGGAAAACAAATAGTTACTATAATATATCCCGCTATTTTTAAATTTTGTTTTCCCTTAATTGAAAAAAATAAAGTTTAATTTAAAAAAAGGGTGGAGATTGAGATAAAAGAGGACATTGTAATAGAACAACACTGGTCAGAATGGAACAATTTAAGCATAATTGGGTTTCACTCCCAGATAATCTAACATAATAGTAGTCACCATAGTGCCTCATTCCTTGAATTATTTGAGTATAACTTCATATACGATAGCATCAAGCATATCAAGACAGTGTGAAGCCATTCAGCAGAATGAAAGAATTACAGGGTATTTAGAACCAGTTAATAGAAAACGAACAATGGTTTCTATATTATCTACTTGCCTATAAAAAATTTTCTTTATACTATCACATATAGTAAAATATAGTAACATACAACATGTTAAAACCAGTGGAAACAGATAGTTTGTTAGAGAGGGACCATTCTTGCACCACTGAGATTGAGCCCAGTGTTGATCATGTTGGTTAATTTTGAATATGCTGGTGAGTTAACGTTGCAAACATTTAGCTGAACACTTTTGTTTATGTTTGCTTGGAATATTAACCAACAGAGTGTTTTCTTTTATATTATTTTTAACACATTATTGTCTGGCTTCATTCTCAGGATAACTAACTTTGTCACTTAAAAGAAGTTGGTGGTGGGTTTTCCTTCAACTTGATCAAAGAATTGAAAAACAATCAGTATTTATTCTTTATTATATACTGGATAAAATTCACCAGTGCACTTTTTGTATCCCAGCTTTGTTGTTATTAAGAAGCTGTGATTTTTACCCATTGCCTGTGCTCCTTATTGCCCTGTTCATCAGACTATTTCCTTCTGATGCATGTGGTTTGGGGACATCAATGGACCCCACATATCCATTAAGGATCACACCTCATTTTATTTATGGATGCTACCATTTATTTTGTATCTTCAAACTATCTCTATAATATATAATTTTGTGAGTAACTCCTTTCAGTTACTCAGATTTAATGCACACACTTGCAGGGTTTGGTTATTGCTGGAGGAAACTGGGCATGGTGAGGGCCTGGTCTCTAATTTAAGGCTTCATACCCTGACCTGCCTGCAGTGTCCCCATCTCCTGACCTGCTCCCTGTAAACACCTGTCCTGCTCTATAACTACGGTGAGTCCACATGTGGCAGTTCAGATCTGCACCTGGGTGGAAAACATTCAGTCAAGTTGGGCTCTGTAACAGACTGACCTCATACAGAGCTCCCCTGAGTGAGAGAGGGGGCCTCAGGCATGTAGGGAGGAGCTCTGGAACCATTCCAGCTCTCTCCTGTGCAGCATACAATGTGTGATGCTTTCCTGAGAACTTACTGATGGATGAGGAGGTCTGGACCAGGCCTTTTTTAGCCATGGTGTCCTACACCTCTGCCTGGACCATCTCTCTGACTTTAGATCTCCACATAGATCTGAGCAGACTCAGTCTTCCTCTACCAGGCTCTAACTCTATGCTGAGGTTTCAGGTGCAAAATCTGAGACCCTCAAATTAATCTTATATACATTTAACCAGGAAATTCCACTTCTAAGAGTCATTATAAAAATGAGATTGACAGACACCGTATTCTCTTCTTAATCAGTTAAGATGTGGACTGTTAGAAACCATGAATGTTACACAGCCCAGCTGCTGAGTTAATTATAAATTACAGCCACTGAAAATGCTGAAAGAAGGCCATGTCCTAGGCCATGTCCCTTATCTTTCCTGAGATGGAAGAGAGCTTGTGTCCTGGCTCTCCACCCAGCAGTGAAGAGACACAGGCCTGCACAGCAGGTGAGGACAGGAGAGAGGAGCTGGTCAATGGCAGACCTCTCATCCTGGGAGGGATGCCTTTGTGGTTTTTCCATTTTATTTTCCATTGCATTATTTATAGTGCTCCACTCAATATTACTTCTCTTCTGTTCAATTCACTTAAGAATAAGTAGTTGGTATTTTCTTGAATAGGTGAGTGGATTTGGATGACTTAGTATTCTTTTATATGTAATGTAGGATATGCATATAGAAGAACATTCAAGCTTCACTTTATAAATATATAAAATAAGGAGTCTTTTTATTCAGAAAGGCAACACATCATTCATGACTAACTTTTAAACTCCCAACACATGAAGCCATGAAAATCCTGCGGTGGTGGGTGTCCTGCCCTCCCTACCTGAGAAGTCACTGTGCTCATCTGTGTCTGGTAGAGGACACCCAGAATCTTCTTCAGAGTCTCTTTTTCCAGCAAGGAGGACTTGAATCTTGCTGTGCTCAGGTCAAACAGGGAGTGTGCAGCATGCAGAGGAGCCCAGCACTTCCTGCCTTACACCCTTTTCCACCACTGCATCCATGCTGCAGCCCTG